ATAAGCCAGAGAGAGAGAGAGAGAGAGAGAGAGAGAGAGAGAGAGAGAGAGAGAGAGAGAGAGAGAGAGAGAGAGAGTTGCCTCTGCACCAAACTCGCGTGGCAGGCAGACAACAGATGTCTGAAATGGTCTGAATCAGACGCTCAATGCATTCAAATTGCATTGCAAGCACCGTTTCGACCTGGGCCTAGCACGCCATTTCAAACTTCCCCGCCCGCGGGTACTTGCCCTTTCCATTTTACTTGGGCCAGTGCACCGCGCACCCCCCAAACCAAAAATGCCCCTGAATGTTGAATCGAACATTGAAAGCTTCCAGGTGTATAAAACACAGCCCTGACATGCTGCCAGTGCAAACTTCCCTGCCCTCGGGTACTTGCCCTTTCCATTCTACATGGGCCCAATGCGCTGCGCCCCCACCCCCCAAACCAAAAATGCCCCTGAATGTTGAAACGAACGTTGAAAGCTTCCCTACGTCTCGTCCTAATACAAGACTCTAACAACGACCCTGGTTCATGACGAAAGTAATGGAACGGATGGTGACCTGGTATATACTAGTGATGGAGACTAAGAGTCATTTACAACCCTATAACAACAACAAAGGGATCTGCCTCATGACCGAGATGAGGTAATGGATGATTGGACTGTAGATCCCACTGATGACAGAGGCTATGATGCCCACAAACTGGCGTCCAATCAAATAACGTTCATAATAACAACAATCACAACATCACTAGGTAGGCAATCTGGGTTGCTCGAGGGGATATCATGAGGTTAGACCTTAATTAGGGAGGGGCATTAGACACTCCCTGTGATATCTAGGCTATAGTTCGACTCATATCCAGGGGGCCCAACTCATAACAACAATGTTGATTTGGCGACACACAGGGGAGTCTGAACCCCCTCAAGAAGGGCATGTAGTCACACGTTCACATCTAACTCCCGAACTCCTCGTGCAACAAGGTTTGCACGGCGTTCGCGTCAACCAGGGCTAAGTGGGGAAGTAGGGGTCCCCCTGCTCAACCCGGGTGCCTGCAACTGTTGTCTGGTCAGGTCACCTAGCCGAGTTGGTGATGGGTGATGGGTGATGGTCCAGGGTGGTTGACACTAAGGTAGGACAAAGGGTGAGGGAGTGTCCCGGGGTAATTGATGGGAGGAAGGGTGGAGGAGGGTTTAAAAAAAAAAAAAAAGTCGCCGTGGTCCCCGTAAGATTGTTGTGGGTGCATTTTATAGTAGGTGTAAACAATATTTTCAACTGACACCTTTGGAAAAATAGAAGAATGGTTGGACCGCAATGAAAACACGTTTGGAAATACTAAAATCTGCAAGTTTGGAGCAACAGTTCAAAAAAGCCTAAGTTGATTTTCCAAGCCTTGCAAGCCTCTAGTTGTGCCTTTTCATAATGGTTTGCCCTTTTGGGTACACAAACACAGTGAAGGTTTTATCTTTGATGCATCCTCTACCATGATTCTCATTAATGTACTGTGTTATATTCGAGAAAAAATAAAGAAGGAAAAAATTGGAAGGTGGAGGTTTGAAGGATTTGGGTAGGGGCATATGGGGGATTTGGGGTGGGGAGGGGCGTGTGTTTTGAAGAGTGTTTTTGAGGATTGAGCGGTTGTTTTGTAGGGCATTGTCAAGATTATGAAGTGGATGTAAGGAGTTTGTGTAGAATGTGTTTGTATGGTGGATATTTGACGATGTGTTTGTATGGTGGATATTTGATGAACCTTTGTTTATAGTTGGTCTTGAGGTCGGTGGTCCTTGAATCTTGTTGTCCACATATGGTGCAGTTGAGTGTTTAAGTACGGTTGTTGTTTTA